GCGCCGCTGCCGCACCGAGATGCGGAGCAAACTGCCCAGAAAGTCCGTGTTGGGGCAGGTTTGGGTATCGGGTATTTCCATCGAATGGCGCCGGAGGGAAAACCGCCACGGGGGCAGTCGCTGGCTGGTCCTGATCCTGTCCCTTGCCTCCCCGTGTCTCCCGCAGACTCCCCAGTGCCCGCGCCGAGGACGGCGGCTGGAGGAGCTGGTGAGCCTCGGGGCTGAGCGAGGGTTACCTTTTTCTGGAATCAAACTGCACACTGCCGGTGGCTGCCAGGCTCCTGCCGCCCTGCCCTGATCTCTCCCTTTGACCAGACCACACTGGACTGAACCCGAGGAGATCATCTCGCTTTCTTACTAACCACCGACGGTTTACGCTTCCCCTCCCCGCCCCCCGGCCCACCGATTCTTCTTTTATTTATTTTACTAGCTGTTAGTTTTATTTTTTTATTTTATTTTTTTATCTTTTTGGGGGGCTCCTCCTTTTTGTTGTTTGCTCTTTCCTGAGCTAGTAGACATATTTTATGAATTGGCTTTGTGATTGTGTTAGGTAGTTTTTATTGAGGAGTATTTTTATTTGACTTTGAAACTGTTTTGAATATTTTCAACTCTGTTGTTGTTGTCGTCAGTGTTTTTAAAGCACGGTATGTAACGAGAATGCAGTTCTGAAGGGAAGAAAGAGACGCAGAGAGAGCAAAGGCTAAGAGGAACTGATGTATTTCTATTTTTTTTTAAAGAAACTGTTTTTAATTGTTTCTGTTTTGTAAATGTGAGGCTTTGAAAAGCGTGAGACTCCAAGATCTGAAAACGTTGGACAGTGCTATGGAACAAAACAAATGTATATTTTGCTAAGTGAAAAACACTATCCTTTACAGCTGAGAGAATTTCTGTTTTCCTAGGTTTAGTTTTATGTGGGGTTTTCTTTCTCCTCCTGTATAATATGTAAATATCGCGAGGTGACCCTGGCTGCCTCCCGCAGCCTGGCTCCGAGGAGCAGCTCCAGGTCCCGCACTTGGTGCCGCAGTGTGAGCAATACTCTCCAGCAGAATCCTGACAGGACTCCGTTCTTTTTTTGTACACCTTTTACTGTAAGATTTTAAGACCTCTGATGAGATGGAAGGGGGGGTGGGGGCAGGGGTGAGATGCACCGGCCACGGGCCGCGTTGCCGGGCACGTTAAAGCTGCTTCTGATCACTCCATGTACAGACTCCATCACTGGGCTCCGTAGCGCCAGCGTCCGGGTTGGCTTTAGGTAAAAGGGCTTGACTGCCACTGCTTGTCTTGGTTACTTTGCAAGGAATTGACTCTCCAAATGCTATTGCTCGTGTCACAGCTGGCGGGGAAGGGGATGCTCCCTGTCGAGGGCAGCAGGAGGGACGGACGTTGCCCCGCAGCAGGGCACATTCAGGCCCTGGCTCTGCAGAGGTCAAGGCGCCAACTTGGGCAGTCGTTAACTGGGAGAAAAGCAGGAGGGTGGTGATTTGGGGGCGGGTTAAGGGCTTCTCAGGGATTACACAAATTACAGAATCGCAGCTTCCTGGCAGCTTCCCGTTTGCTTTACTCTGTGTTCTGAGGAGCGGGGGAATCTGCCCGCTGAGCCGGTCCCTTCTCCGAGCCTTCGGGAGCCGCTCTGCCTGGGGCAGCCTCCAGCAGGAGTGTCAGGGGCAGGTTTGGGTCTGGATTAAGTGAACCAAAGACCTTGTTAAGGGGAGTGATTAAGCCTTTTATTAAGATGCAGCCAAATTCTTTTCCCAGGGAAATAACAGCTTCATCTTAAGTTTTAAAAATCATTCCCTTTCTTCCCCCAAACTGAGCCCCTGCGAGGGAGAGGGCCACTTAGGACAGGCCTGGGAGGGCTGCGTGCCCCAAGGGCCCTTCCCTGCCCTGTGCTGCCTCCTCTGCCCCCCGAGCTCATCCTGACCTGGCCAATACGTTTGGAGAGTTCTGTTAGGTAAGAGGGTACTTTATGGATTAGTACTGAAAACACAAAGCAATAATTTTTGTTACTGAGACAAGAGTCTGTATGTCTGTTTTTTTTAAATATTTCCTAATTAAAGAAGAGCTGCATTTTATTGGGTTTATTTTTATCTATATACTTCAAATTTGGGTCTGCGGACAGCGCTTTCCTGCCTCTTGGTGAAGCGCTGGGCTGCTTCCGTGCCCCCTCCAGACAGCCACAGGCCGGCTGTGCTGCTGCAGGGCTGGGGTTCTCTCTGGCCAGCGCTGCCACTGCCTGGGGTCTGCGGCTCCGGTTGCAGGGTGGGCATTTTTTTTAAAAAGAAATAAAGCTGTGTTTTTAAGCCAGTAAGTTATTACACTCCAATGTTTGTTCTCTCCACACCTGTAACCCTTTTTCCAGATTTCAGTTTTAAATTCCTAATAAATTATTTGAAAACTGTCCTTCTCTCTGTCGTTATTTGGGTGTGGGTGGTTTTGCGGCGGAGGAGACTTTAGGTGAACTCGGACCAGCCTGGAGCCTTGTCCTGATAAGAGCCCCAGGGCTCTAGTTCCGAGTTCTGCTCCCAGCTGTGGCTCCAGCCTCATTTATAAGGTGAGGCGGATCTGCTTTCAGCAGGGATTGCGCCTCCTCCTTTCATTACAGAGGTTTCTTGAAGTTATATATAGGTTGAAGAAAGTAGAAGTCAGCATATTGTTTAGATGGTTGGCTCAGATACTCTTTGGATTCCTAGACTATATTCTTTGGATTTGGATACAGAGAACCAAGGGGGACAAATGTAGGAAGGGAAACTGCAAAGGAGGGGGAAATTGCCTTAACAGATAAAGAAAACTAGAAGAGAAAGGCAAGTCATATTGTAACGGTGTAAAATGGGGTGGGGAACCTGTCTTAATTGTATAAAATTTCTAACAATGATTTAAGGTGTATCTAGTACAGGCCTATAAGCTGGGCTCTCCTCATATGTGCCCTGAAGGCCAGCAACAGGCTGTTATTATTTCTGAAGACCAAAAATAGCAGTAGTGGAAAAATCTCAACCTGCTGGGCTTTTTCTCATCAGGCACTCTTGGAGCGCTCACATGCTCGGTTTCTCACACTCTGTGCCTCTCTTGCTACATGATGGATGAAATCCAAGACAGGAAAGTGTTTGCCGTTTGTGACTTTAAAAGGCCAATTTACTAATGGAAGGTTTTTTAGCAACATTAGTGGCAAGTCAGAATCTGAAGAGTGGGGACAAATGGAACTAGAGTGTCTTAAGATTCAGAGGGGAAAGAACTGAGCAATAACAAGAGACTAAAAGCGAAAGCAGCAAAGGAGAAGGAAAGCTGTCTGCTGAGAGGAAAGCACATTGATCTGTGAGTGAAGGATTCAATCACTGTTTCTAAACTAGCTGGAGTGTGGACTGTCCCTTACATCAACCTTTGATCTCCGTGCAGGATTCTTGCTGTTAGACTAGAATCTGGATCTCAGCATCTGTTTGCCTTTGGCCTGTTGCTGGAGGATGTTGAACCCAGGATGAGCGCTCTGAAAATTAAGGCTGCAGCAGAAAAGTGGGATTTGCCTCTTCTCAGGCTCCTAAAGCCACCGACTTGTGTGAGCGTATCTGAAATAAATGGAGACTCCTGATCTTGAGGGAGTTGTCCAGGATCTAGTGTGTAAAAATGACAAACTTGCAGCCTGCAAGGTGTCAGAGCCGCTGGGCTCTGAAAACGAGCGCAGTATTTTGGACTCAGCCCAGGCGCCTGCAGGAGGCTTTTTCTCACCTCCTGCCTTGGCAAAGGGAACCTATGGGCCTAACTGGCTTCTGGGTGTCAAAGACAAAGAGACTGCTCCCTCTGACCTGCCGAAATCTGCCGCATGAGTTAGGACTTGCAAGCCCAGCTCACTCGCAGCGTAACGCTGCTGAGATGATTTAAGGGTAGGTGCAAGTGCTTGTGTAAACCGGGTAGTATCAGCTTTCCAGGGAGATGAGTACTGTGCCACCACCTGCACCAGGATCCAGCGGCTCCTGGACTGGCTGAACTCGCAACTGCAAGGGAAGATAAATGACTGTGTCCTTACAGTTACCAATTAGCATAGGAATTAACCTCCTCTAACTTGAAGAGCAGGGACTCTCTGGGAGAGGGAGAACAGGCAGATGTTTCTGGACATACCTTGTATTATAAGGAAGAGCTGCACTTACCAGGCACATTTTGATAAACGGAGGAGAGAGTGGATGTTTAAAGGAAACAAACCCTCCAAACCACCTTTTCCAGAGGGCTGCTAATGTAGTTGCTATGAAGATGTCATGTCTAAAGACATAAAACATCAACGTGGTGTTGCCTGAGCTGCAGCAATCTGCCTGAATTCTGGTCGCTTCAGTTTGTGCCAAGTGGCCATCCAAAATGAGTGAACTACTTGTGTCATATTCCCTAAATCAGGCCAGGAGAATCCATTGGGAGGTACTGACTAATGATAACCAGGACACGATGAGAAGGGCGTGCCATATACGAAATGTTGGTATGCCAAGGGTTTCCAATGTGACTACCAATGCTGCTGTATTTACAGCAGAAAGGCTTTAAAGACACTCAGATCTTTCCAGATATTTTTTTAATGCTAGTGTTAGAGTAGTGTAATAACAGAAATCTAAAGAGCAAATATTTGTCTTTTGGACTTCTGGCTTTCAACTACACCAGCCTTCAGAAGGCCATGACACACAATCTCCTGGTCATGGCCTCTGATGGAGATTTGTGTTTAATAACGTAAATACTAGCACATTTATCTCACCTCTGTGTCAAGGTGAGCTTGCGGTATAAAGAGTCACATTTTCTTTAGCAGTTCTCTGTTCTTCTTGGTTAAGTCCTTCAATAATGAAGTCTCTTGTGCTGCTTTTCCTGCTGTTGGGTGGGTATGCGGCGCTCCTGCCCACTCAGCGGCCCCCGGACGGCCCCAGGACATCGCTAACCTCTGTGTTTCTCCTCAGTGGGTGCCGCTGCTGCGGATGTCTCACCACGGGCAGTGTGGCAGCTGCGTAGGATGATCAAATGCACCATCCCGCACAGCGACCCGATCAGAGATTTTGCTAACTACGGCTGCTACTGCGGCTTGGGAGGCAGCGGGACACCAGTAGATGAGCTGGACAGGTTGGTAAGACCTTTCACACCCTCCTTGCTCTCCTCACTTGCTTTTCCTCGCCGGCTCCAGTTTTCTGTCACTGCTCACAAAAACCTCCGGCTGCTGCGCATGAAGATTTTGCCCAAAGACTGATCTAAGGGACGATGGCTGTGCATTAATCGCTGGTGTGTTGTTACCGGGTTCAGCCAGGCAACCCAGGGAGCTCGCTGCCATGCTCAGTGCTGAGCTGCTGCACGCCACGAACCAGCTCAGCGGATTAGAGACCGCCCAAGGCCGATAACCAGGGGCCAGTGAGCGCCTGGCACTGGCAGGGACTCAGGGAAACTACTGGTTTTGTGCAACGTGTTCCCAAAGGACGACCTTGCAACGAGGCTGAATGTGAACTGGGCACTTCTGGGCCACCGGTTTCCCCTGGAGGTGCCTCACGCTTGCTCTCTGAGTGCCTCTTCTTGTACCTGCCTGGTTAGGGGTCCAGCGAGGCAGCCACATTAGCATTGCAGGCATTTCTGACCTCCTCCTCCTCATCATCTCCTAGGTGCTGTCAAGCACATGATCAGTGCTACAGCGAGGCAA